GACGAAAATCGGATGCAGTGTGAATCCAGCAATAGAAACACTAGTATTGAGCGATTTCAGCGCATCAGATTGGCGACACTGATGTTGAACAATTGGATAATCTGGTCACCCTGCAACAGTGCTAGTCGATGGTACTCTACTCTGTTGTCTTTGTACATTCTGATTCGCGTCAGTCGCGTCAGTCGCGAGGTTCGTTCTCGATCGAAGTGACTTGTGAGGAGCGTCGTTGTGTTCAAAGGCAGAAATAATCAGGTGAGTTTCGCGTGCAATTGCGACCGTCGATTAAGCGACACACACGTTTCTCGTACGTTTTCGCTAGGAATCGCAAGAAATCGCGAGGAATAGCGCTTCGCGATGGGAAAATGCCGAGGCATGAAGAAGTTTCACGACGCGCGTGACTCGGGGCCGCCTTCGCCTTGCATGCCTCACGATGGGAAAAGTGCACTCGGCCTGTCGCCATCTTGTTTATTATGCGTGCTTACTTTTGGAGGGAAATCGACGTCGCGATGCATCATTATACGCGTCGCGGGGTCTCGTTTTTGTCGAATTCGTATAAATCACGTTTCAGCCTGTCGAATTTTGCATTTCTCGATCTCGGGAAAATCGCGTGACGGATATCCGGCGATTCGTTCCGGTTTTCTTTTTTTTCCTTTTTCGTTCCGCCCTTTCTCTTCCTCTGTCTCCCCCCCCTCCCTTCTGCATGCGTGCCTTGGTATGCGCGGCGGGGGTCGCTGATTATAGCCTGCTCCCCCCTCCCTCTCTCTACCAAGTAAGCGTCTTAACGTACATATGTATGTATCTTGATGCTTTGTCCTACTAGGAACGGTGGTCCAAGATAGAAAGAGGAAGAAAACAACGAAAGCTCGCTCATCGTCATGGCACGTACCAAGCAGACGGCTCGTAAGTCAACGGGTGGAAAGGCACCCAGAAAGCAGCTCGCCACTAAAGCAGCGCGTAAAAGCGCGCCGTCCACTGGAGGCGTCAAGAAACCTCATCGTTACAGGTATGTGCTGTACATCTACACATATATATATATATATATCATACACAAAAGTATAAACTTACCTTCATTAAATTGGTTATTTTAAAAATATTGAAGATATGTTTGTCAATTTTATAGTACTAAATAATTCTTTATAGCAATTTTGATAGTAATTCTAATATAGAATATGTGAGAAAATATAATTATATTAAGTATTTCATTGATATTTAATGTTATAATTATATTTGTATCAGTGAAATATAATTGTATCAGTAAAATTTAATATCTTTGAGAGAAGGAAATTTAAACATATAATTTTTTTTAAGAAATGTTTCTATTTATTTAAATCTTCTTTTCAGGCCGGGTACTGTAGCTCTGAGAGAAATCCGAAGATACCAAAAGTCCACGGAGTTGCTCATCAGGAAATTGCCGTTCCAGCGTCTGGTTCGTGAAATCGCTCAGGATTTCAAGACCGATCTGCGCTTTCAGAGCGCCGCTATAGGTGCCCTCCAGGAAGCGTCGGAAGCTTACCTGGTCGGCCTGTTCGAAGACACGAATTTGTGCGCCATTCACGCCAAACGTGTCACGATCATGCCAAAAGATATACAACTGGCACGGCGAATTCGCGGTGAACGCGCTTAAACCGTTCACAAACAATATACAGAGCGTTCTCATTTTATTATTATTTGGACATTGTATGTTTCTAAACAATCTAAAATTTTTCTTGACTCTCTTCCGTGTATATTTATCATAGTTAACACACTGCCAACTGCTGTAATAGATACCTGGAAAAGACGAATAGCAAGTGAGTCTTGATTAGACTTTCCAACTCTATCAGATTCATGATTCATACAATGATTAAAAAAAATCACAGGTTAAAAAATCAATTTTAATTTTTAATATAAAGTTGAAATTATAGAAAGTCATTAGATTTTTTTTATATCTGAATTAGCAGAGATATAACATGCAGCAATGTATCGCGTAGATTTAATGGTATTTTTTTTGTAGAACGCCAGGTATTAGCGCTTTATTTTACAACGTTTAACGATAGTTGTATTGCTTCATGGGAGCAAATCGTCCTTTCAACACTTCTTTACGTACAAACAAATTTACTTATACCGGTATGCACTTTTCGTATAAAGGGATATATCTTCTACATGTATTGAAGAGTGATAGAACAGAGAACAGGTAGTTGATTAGTTGTTTATTGGTAATATTATTACACACAATGCGCATATAGTTCGATTTGCATTAGTCCTCACTCTTTAGAATTAAAAAATTTACTTATAATGGATATATCGTTTATATTACGTATATAAATATATTGTATAAGCTTAGAAACTAAGTAAGTGTTTCATGTATCCATAAGGAAATGCATTAATAAATATCTACTTATAAACATAATTAAAGATACGGCAAGAGGGCTGCAATTGGCATTGCGCGGAATTATTTTTTTCTTCGTATGGATCTATGGAACGTACACATTTATAGGACGAAAGATACATAGAGGGCGTTCTGTTATTCACTGTGAGTGAGTTGAAAATCTGTAGCTTACATGCTTGTGCTACAAATTTTCAGTACTTGCAATGGAATAACGGAACGCAACCGTAAATAACGTTTTTTCTCCCCGGTTATCGCTATTGATTAATAGAGCAGCTTCTCTTGAAAGCTTTTCTCTCCAGATGTAATCCTCTTGTCGAGTTCGTAATTATAAGTTGTAATTATCGTAACGATTATAGTACTAACCAAATGATTGTAACGATACAACAAAATACATTTTTTAATGGATGTAACAAATTCTTATATCTTTTCTTTATATACTGTGTACTTTATACGAGTGGCGCATGAAATGTACTATTTTATTATCCAATTTACAGACCTTGAGATGAATTTTGTAGCAGTTCTATGCTAATTTTATTAAAAATTGATAGATCAATCAAATGGTATAATATTCATGTGCCATTCTGTGTACACATTTGTTATTTATATATATATATTGCATATTTGACTTTGTTGATATATGTATTTATATAGATACATATCACTATGTGCTTGTTTGGGCTCTAGAGCCGTGCGAGAACGCTCGCGCGCGCCTGTGCAGGCATTTGCAAGTTGCACGCCGCTATCGATTCGCGCGAACCGACGATGCGTGTGACGCGCGACATTTCATATGCATCGCGTCCCACACGATGCGCAAAAATCTGACACAAGCGTGCGCGCGCGCGCGAGATTCTCGCTCTCTCGCTCGCTCGGTTATAGACCGGACATCGATCTCTCACGATTTCGTGGATCGATACGCGGCGCGAAATAGTCCTACGTCACAGTCGCCAGTCTCGCTATATTGGCTATATTATCGCACGATAGCCGCCTTTCTCCCGTGTAAACAGTAGCGTCGCGTCGTCGCTTTTCGATACACGCATCCTCAATTCCTCATCTGTACTTGTCCCGTCTCGCGCTTTTTTTCATTCCTCCTCGGCCTCCCCCCGTCGCGACCTGTGAATGACGGGATAGCTCGACCCCGGGGATCAGCCGAACGGACGATACGACGAGAGAATTTACGCTTGGTGTAATTAAGCTGTGAGTATGCATATATCCTCCCCATACCCGGGGGCATGGTTGAACATGGACTATTTTTCGCGCAAATAATCTACTTATATCGCGCGTGAAATAGCCGCGAATAGAGTAATATTTTAAAAATATTTTAATAAATTAAAAGAACAAAGAGAAATAGAGGTTTAATTCCCTAAAAAGGAAATTAACCCTAGGGTTCTCATTAACCTAAGACGCCGATAAAAAAAGAACAAGACTTTATCGGCGTCTTAGGTTAACGAGAATCCAGGCTTAACGCGCGTAACATTGGAGACCGAGGATTGCGAGAGAGAGAGAGAGAATTAGAGATTAGAATTCGACTAAATGGCTACGTTTACACCGTGCATTTAGGCCGTGGTTTATACAATAGATGGCCTTGTTTATCCTGTAGGTTAAACAAAGACACCTATCGTATAGGTCGCGGACTAAGCGCACGGTGTAAACGTAGCCAGTGGATAATTTTAATTTCAATCCGTTTCGTTCCGATTGATCGAATTCTAACGTTCAATTCCGAATTCTCACTCTCCAACGCGACACTCGAGTGGCGAGTGCAACGCGAGGCTTAACGAGCGGGAGGTCGTGGCTCGCGCTCGCGGAGACAAAGCTCTTGTCCCCCCTCTCTTCTCCGTTTCAGGACCCACGGTCATATTTTACATTTATAGCACCGAGTATATTGTATATATCGGTCCCCCGACTGGCTCTCAAAGTCTTAAATCGAGGTGGTCGATTTCGTGTGCGCGCTCGAGATTCTTATTTACTTTAATATAATAAGCTGTTCTTTTCAGTCTCTTCCGTATACTGAAGAAATTTAAAAGATCGAGAAAAGATAAAGATAAACGGTGCAAAAGACAGCTGAAAAGAACAGGTCTATTATCGTCGGACGTCAATCCCCTCCTTTGGGGCTTTGTCGACAAAGTCAGAGTGGAACTCGTTACTCGAGTATAGCGTTGTCCGAATAAAAGCGCGTATGCATATAGCGCGGTCAGCGGTCACGTGAACTCGCGATTACGCGCGACTCGCGAGCGTAAAGCAGCTACGTCCTCCTCTTAATTGGCGCGCGCGACACGCGTCGCCTTTGCGCTGCTCTGCGCTGCTTTGCGCGGCGGCTCTACCGTTCTACGTTATTGATCTCGCTCGCGCGCCCGTCGGGAAATCGGCTGTCCGCGCTCTCTCTCTTTCTCTCTCTCTCGCGCGCGCGCACACTGCACAGGCACTTACATCCATCCCTGATAAACTCATTAGATTTCCGCGGCGTCCATCGATCGATCGAATTCTCCTCCGCCCTCCCCCGACTCCACCCCACCCCCTCGTTTCGACTTAACCCCTTCGCCGCGAAATGACCGAGCTGAGCTCCTGTCTCCATACGCGAGGCGCGCTACATCGTTCGCGTTCTTCCGCGCGGCGCCGCGCGCGCGAGAAAAGAGCGCGCGATTCGTGGAATCATCGGTACGACAGTACGCGAGGGGGGAGAGGGGAGGAGAGACGTAAGCGTACGAGTACACACACACGCGCGCGCGCGCGCACACACCATACATATATATCATATATACACATACATGCGTATCTACGTCCTACGTACGATCTCGAGCGATTGACAGGGCACTCGTCGCCACAGGCCGCACTCGATGTACCGGCGACCAATGAGGTGCACCGGCCGGCCAACGGCCCGCAGTCGGATTGGCCGGCGGCGCACCGCGACACGGACTCCTACGTGCCTCTCGCGCGATTTAATTTCCCGCGGACGCGGTACGATCGTACGGTAGGTAGTAGCGGCGGTGGGGGGTAGGCGAGGGGCTGGCGAGGGGCGGTAGGGAACGCGCGCGAGAGAGCCGTGGACTCGAGAGAGCCGAGAGAGCGTCCACTGCCATCGGAGTGTGCGAGGAAACGGATAGTGTATCTAGTTCGCTTCGCGTCCCCGCTCGTGCCCGATAACTCGCCTCAGGTAGGTGAAGTCTGAATCCACTGTCAAGATTCCATCCCGATCATCGTTTTTACGCCGCGTTGAGATTTCGTGAAAAGTGTCCCCTCCCCCCCTTGGATTTTCACCGCCGTACGCCACCATTTTGCGACTGACGTGATTGTGATGTGGGAACGCACCGCGACGGCGATTGAACTTTCAAACCGTGATCGTCGTCCTGGTTTTTAGCCCCGCGCGCGGTGTCGCTGACATTCGAGCCGATTTCTCCGCCGAGAACGTCATCGTCGTCGTCGTTGCCGTAGGATCTCGGAACGACGCTGCTCTTCGGTCTTCGCTGCCGCGAATTCCTTAATCCTTGGCTGACAACGCGTGGTTTTTTTTTCCCCTCTTCTCTCCCCTCTTGCTCCCCTTCTCTTCTCTCCCCACGCCCGCGCCGTCGCCGTCACAGTCGGACGAACGAAAGTTCGTGCATTGCGCAACGCGTGGCGGTTGCTCGGTACGCGTACGACGGCGACGAGTTGCGTTGCAGTTGCACACCCCCTCCCCCCACCTTGCGCCTCTTATTACCGCGCCCCACCATCGTTGCACACCGTGCATTTTTCCCCTTCTTTTCGAACTTATCCACCGCTCTAAGCATCATTCGACACTGCTATGCGCGTCGTATAGTCGTGTTACCGATTAGAAATTGTCAAATGTCAAATGACTGCGTTCAGCAAAAAAAAATACCGCTTTACTAATAACTATAATTCTAAAATTCTTTGATACGATTGGTGTTGTATTTAGTTCCTCACTCTCTAAAGGAGATCTCTAAATCAATTAGATTAAAGAACTTTGATAGTTGCAAAACTAATTTTTCTGCTGAATGCAGCCCGTCTTCAATTCTATGGAAATGACAACGAGTCGAGTCTGACGAAAGAAAAAATACGCGAGCGTCGAATGCGACCGTGCAAAAATCTCCCCTCTTTCTCCTCTTAAATAGAAATTCTTAAAATTTCTTAACGTTTCACGGAATAGTAAGTTTTTTTATTGTTATCCTGGATTGCGTTAGAATTTTCTTTCTTGCTTTCGTCAAATATCAGATATACTTATTTCACTTTAGCGGCGTCTACAATGAGATTTTAAAACGTCAAACTTTAGGATCGATGGTGGAGACGAATTTCTTTTATTACCAAATGATGACTAAAATATTGAGCAAAATTGCGATACACTTGCGATATTCGTAATTAGGAGAATTACCTGCATCTTGCTAAAGAGCGATTTTTTTGAGGAAAGAAACTGCAAAATAGAAATTCGTTTTGATATCTCACTCGATCTGCATTATAGGTAGTAAATAGCTAAAGTGCAGACGATCTTATTTATATCTGCACCATCAGTAAGCAGATTATAAGCCGTTCTCATCATCTCCTATTAACTTAATCGACCGATTACTACAATGGAACTGACCAATCGTATTTGCTGTTCGGCAGAATTGGCCAATCACGATTGACACTTAATCGACCGCGAAATTGAAAATTTTGACTCTTTGGCAGGCTTCATAGTTAAGTAAAATATAAGCCAAAAGAAGTTTCATGACAAAATATTTCTTTTATAAGATAATTCATCTTTTATAAGATAGTTCATCTTTTCTCTTTTTCTCTCCAATGGAGAGAAAAGGAAGAAAGATGTGCCGTGCAAGAACTTGGGCCAAAAAGAACAGATCTAAAACAGACCTAGTAAAATGCAAATTGGTATGTATATCAGCACCGCGCAAATGTGTTTTCTCATCACTCGCACTTCTGCCGGTCTTTAAACCTTTAGACAATTACTTTTCATAAGAAATTGACCAATCAAATGTGAGGAGAATAGAGATGTAAAATTACCGTCAAATTCAATTTGTCAATTACTTACGGTAAAATTACGGTAAAATGGTAATTTATTGGTAATTTTGATAAAATTTGTTGTTTTTTGTAATTTTATGCACAAATAGGTTTTATTTATGTTTTTCACATTAATATATAATGTAAAACAAATTCTTTTAACATTTTCATCGAGAATATAAATCGCTGATAGAATAATAGTAGGACTGTTCACTAAATCTAAACGTAAAACATAATTATGCTAAAATCCGTTTTCAGTACATGGTTCCCTAGAGATTTGATACAGTGGCCAAAATATAGAAAGCAATTAAAAATTCCAGTATTTTTTTACATAATTCCTTATTTTATATTTTAAAATTTAGTTTTTTACCGAATTACTTAAAATTATTCTGTATTTCTATTTTAATATTTCTGGCAGTAGTGCAATTACAAAAAGATCATTTTATTTTTTATGTATAATTGTCTTTGTTTTTACTTTAATAAAGACTTTAACAGTCTAGTCGTTAAAATAGCAAACAAATAAATAAAGTCTTTTAATTAATTGTCATACATTCAATATATAATAATTAAGAGAAATAATATTACATATTTATATATATATATATATTACATTGGTGTATATACTATACAATATATTATATTGTATAGTGTATACCAATATGTAATATCAAAATGAAAATATGAGTTAAATAAAGCATTTTGAATTTAATAACTAAAGGCTAAATGCTCTTACATCAAATTATTTTACTTTTATAATTTTTAAAAATTACCATTTTATCAGTCCCCAAAAATTACTGACTAATTTATCATAATTTACTGAATAAATTACCGTAAAATTTAGTAATTTTCATCTCTAAAGGAGAATAATCGACTACAAATTAATCAGTTTCTTATGGCATAAAACCTACAAGCTTAAGTAATAGCTTGTTGTAGGAAGCCCATTAAGTTTTGAGAAATTGATTGATTAATTATTTTTCTCACATTTCACTATGATTGATCGATTTCTTAAGGTTGACTTACTACACCTATTGTCGTTGTGTTTCAAATTGATTAATTTTTTACAGCTTATGGCCCTGCGCTCAATGAAGGCAATATTCGGAATAGGAATAAATAGTAAGATTTCAACCTATCAGAAACTATATATTCCGATGTAACTGTTTGTTTCTGATAAGATCTGATAAATCTTGCTACTTATTCTTGGTCCTGTAATATTTTTTTCATTATGCACAGTCCCTAAGGCTTAGGTCGATATTCATAATTAATTTTTATATTTAAAACTCTTGGATATAGTCATGAACTAATCACAAAGTCGTATTGGTATTTTAAGACATAAGATTGAAATGTGAATCTTGAAATAAAAACGGATTATGAATATCACCCTTAAAAGCTTTCAATTTTACGAGCGGTATTTATAGTCTATTTTATTTTATGACCGTCTTATAAGTGATGTCTTAAAATGTTAATACGACTCTCTTATTAGTTAATAGAAAGTTTTTGCAATAACGTGGATCCAGATACGGCGAACGCTAAAGTCACGTTATCCTTTTCTTAATTAGTTGTTAAGAAGATAACCTGACCTTAGCGTTCACCATATCTGGATAAACGGTATTGCAAAAACTCTCTAATGATATTTTAAGTGACATTTTAAGACTGTACTTAGGCGGTCTTAAAATATAATAAATTTGACTATGTGTGTGTGAATATCGACCTACGTCTTAGGGACCGCTATTCATAGTCGATTCTTATATTGAAAACTGTTCTGTCTTAAGAGGTTCTCGCATTTGATGAAAAATAAGACAAATCTATAATATACATGTAATCCAAAAGTTAATAATATCAATAATATCTAGAAAAAATTTCATTGACTTTTACCGTACCGTTTTGAAGATATTTAATTCTAAATTTATAGAATTTTACATTACAAGTTGAAGGTATAACCTTATTCTGTAGTTATTCTCTTTTAAATTGAGACACTTGCGTATAAGACAGCAATTTAAAAATCGTTATAATCATAAAGTAAACACTTAAGTTTGTTCTCGTAAAGTTCCATTTAAACTGACCGTAAAGTTTACAAGAAATTTATATTCTTCAATGAAAAAAGCTATAATATATATCAAATGGACGATGCGTATACATCAAATGAGCTTAGAACTTTTGTCATTTTGAAAATATTAATAACATATAAAATTACAACAATAATTACGTATAATGGCATAAGATATTGTTAGTAACTTTTTTATTCCATTATTTTACATATTGTAAATAAACCGTCTATTGACTAGGAAGTAGCGCGAGAACCTCCTTAAGTATAGTCTTAAGATGTCACGAACCAATCAGAGGGCCACGCACGTATCAACATCCTAAGACATTACTTAAGATCAAGGTGTCCTCTACCGGGAAAAACCTGAAAAACCTGATTTCTATTGTAGAAAACTTCGCATATGCTGATTCTATAATGAGTCCGTAGTCTTAAGTCTTATCGATGAATCAGTGAAGTTAGTACGATTAAATTGAACTTTTTGCATCAGTGAAAAAAAGAGGAAAGTTGAACCGTACAAAAAGTTCAATTAAAGAGAACAGGCTTTGGTTTAGTTATAAAAAAACAGATACAATATATTAGTTGCCGACAATTGTTGTCACAGGTTGAATCATGGCGCGTACCAAGCAAACGGCTCGTAAGTCAACGGGAGGAAAAGCTCCCCGTAAGCAGCTCGCGACGAAGGCGGCCAGGAAGAGCGCTCCGTCTACCGGTGGCGTAAAGAAGCCGCATCGTTACAGGTATGAAAAAAACAAATAAAATAAAATAAAAGACGCGTCTTTGAAATGACGCTCGGATCTCGGTGACTCTAAACTCGGGTTTGTCATGACAATAATAGCGTTTCTGTAATTTCCATGATAGGCCCGGTACCGTGGCTCTTCGAGAAATTCGAAGATATCAAAAGTCGACTGAGTTGCTGATCAGGAAGCTGCCGTTCCAGCGGCTGGTTCGTGAAATCGCGCAGGATTTCAAGACCGATCTGCGTTTCCAGAGCGCCGCCATCGGCGCTCTCCAGGAAGCGTCTGAAGCGTACCTCGTTGGTCTCTTCGAGGACACCAATCTGTGCGCGATCCACGCAAAGCGCGTCACGATCATGCCTAAAGACATCCAGCTGGCCCGGCGAATCCGTGGCGAGCGTGCTTAAGAGACGCTATGTAACTCGCATACATACCGTTCATTACGACCATTATTATTATTATTATTAATTATTATTATTATTATTATTATTAATTATCGTTCGCAATCGTCATGGATGAAGCACTTTCATTCCAAGCTCTATTATATTGTTTTATTTTTGCATAGAGATACGCGCAGTAGTATTATCCCTCCGGTGATCATCCCCATTTTCAACCCTTACCAAAATTCAATTTAACGCTGGCTAATTTATCGAAAGGATAGTGGCCGCGTTCAAGTTGGCAAAGCAGATAACCTGTTCGCCAAGCGAACATAATTAGTAGATTCAACCAATCGCGTTCATTTCGGCAAGCAAGCCGGCTTGAACACGGCAAGTGATTAATTATTTATTTCGAGTATTAAAAGCACTCTTGTTTAGTGCTTTTGACATTCAAAATAAATAATCATCACCTTTCGGTATTAAATTTCTGTAAGACACGAATTTCGATTGTGGACTTGGCAATGCGCAAGTCAGAGGCACTTTTTATTTTCTCTTTTCCCCCTTTTCTTCGGAACACGAAGCAGTAAGCACTTTACATGGCTTTTTGGTTCACACTTACCGGGTGGATATTCACGGATTTATGCGATTTAGTTTACGCTCCGACAATTTCGTTAAATAATTTTGGTTAGACACGATTCGCGTTAACGTTCCTTTTCCCCTCACTATTTACTTCTTTTTATCATTAACGTTACACATAATAAATCATTATATCATTATTAGTATTTGAAGAAAAAAAAAGTGTGCATTAGATTAAAACATCCTCATAGCGACCCGATATAGTGCTTAACGTATTAGATCTCTGATTGTACTCAAATTACATAAACCATTTTGATCACTTGAACATTGTGTAAAAATTTGTGTAAAAATAAACGCATTTCGTAAATAAATCTAAATCCGCACGACTTTTATCTTTGCTTTGTCTGATTTCCGCCCCATCAAGCCGCCTGTGAAACGGTACAATTTATACGAACACAAACATATGCGTCGAATTTTGATTAAGGTATTTATTGAATGAAATTCACATTCTCACAATACAATTCGATTATGATTTTCTAATCAGGGTAACAATTTTTTTTGTTGCCGATAATTTTTTTTTCGTAATATAGTTTAAAGAACTAAACTTTAGATATAAACTTGACGCAATTGCATTTTGCTAGCCTTTGTTATAATAAACGTGTGTATACATATCCAATTATTGGAATCGATCTAATCGTTCGTCGCAAAAGAAAATAAATTTCACATTATGGAATTTTATACATTTTTACGGAATATTAAAAAAATAAAAGAATTATATATCTAGAGAAATACGTTTAAAGCGCTAAAAAGTACACATTTTTACAAGATATCTGCTAATTTTATAGACAACGGTAAATACAAATTATACCCTATGCGTTATTGAGTTCATAAATTATTTATTATTTGTGTAATTATCTACAAACGTCATAAATATTACGTTTTTAATAATAATGATTCTTTCATGATTCATTACCATTTAATATTTAAGACAAAGCACTCGAGGCAATAATACAGCAAGTCACGAGGACAATTTAAAGGATTAATATCGTTTCTGACGTGATTACAAGATTTTTTTTATCGAGACTATATCGATTTCGATTAACCTGTTATAGGAACACGTTTTTGTGATTCTGAAGGAACATATATATATATATATATATATATATATGGATCCTTGATTACTAAATTATTAAATTTATTTTCTTTGTGTGAAAATTGCAACACTTGAACTCTCTTAATAAATTTAGTATACAATAATTAGCTTACACGAATAGAACACAACTGTGAAAAATGAGATTGTGAAACATAAAATTATTTAAAATCATCGTACTATTTGAAAATTAAAAAAATGTTCCAGGGTCCCATCTGAACCCAAATGTTCTAATTACGTTAAAGCTGAGATTTTTGCGTGGCTTAATATCCTATTGCCTTAAGCTCTTGTATGCATATATTTACAAATTTTCTCCTTTTACGCGACTTTTGTCGCGCAGTGTCGGAAAAGGAAATCACAAAACATCTCGGCGCGATTGAGGAGAGAGAAAAAGTATCTGATTCAGATATTATTATAAATACTCAGATATTACAAGTAACGATACTTTGTTACTTTTATTTCGTTACCTTCTGTTATATTTACATGACAATTAAGCATCGATTATACGTTGCCACACGCGTAGCGATCACATATATTCATTCTATCAATTTAGCGTAATAGGCTTGAACGTTAGCATATACTTGCTACATAGAGAGATCGACTCTTCAATTTCTGAACAATTTATCGTAATAACTGAAAATACATTGGACTTTTTCAATATATTTTCAGTTGTTACTGCAACAAATTTATAAATACAGTGAATGCAAAATGTATTCATACATGGAAGATTTAAAAAGTCTTAATTGTAGAAAAAAAACATTAATTAGCATTGTATTAACAATGAATATATTCTCTCCTAATATAAACGAAAGAGCTTCGCGAAAATAATCGTGTTCATGATTTTGAGAAGCTAAATTTTTCAACTGTATGAATACCTTTATCCAAATAATACAATTTTTTACTTATATAATATCTTATATATAATTACTTATTATTACATAAACTTATTATTACATCTTTTTAGGTAAAATAATTTTGAGAAATACACAATCTACTTTATTCTTTGTTAATAAATTGCTAATTAATGTTTACTTTCTAGAAATAAGGTTTTTTTTTTTAAAGATATATGTCTCTTGTGTACGAATTATTTTTTGCAATCACTGTAGATCTTTTTTTTATAATAAAATATATATCTTTTACTTGTGTAAAAAAAAAACGGACTATCATAGTACGGCTGGGCGGCGATGTCGTATTTTCTGTTAACGACGTTTGTCGATATTGTTAAAAGAATATCGCTCGCAATAATTACAGCAGCCATTTGACACCTATCTCATATTTGCACAAACGGGTATTTTTTACAGCGATGATTCATCGACTCGACGTTATAATTATTCTGCACGATGTTTTCTAGCAAGATATCGCGATAAATGTTGTTCAGACAATATGGAACGCCGCTATTGGGAAAATACACAGCCGAGAGGAATATATATCAGAATCTACCACCTCGTGTCTCCGTAAACCAGAAACGACTTTTTCACGTTGAAGCATGGCGATACCTTCCAATCTTGCGTGAACTCGCTTAGCGGCTAACTTAATGAAACTTGAACAGAAGTCCGTCATCAAGGAAATTTCCAACTAATATTAACATTGGGATCGTAACGGGATGTGCGAATATATGATCGCTGCAACATTATGTCCTTTCCATTAAATTCGCTTATAATCGAATGTGGTTGTTGTTTCCTGTAGCTGGGCTTCGGACCTGTCGTCTAGCTCTAATTGAACAGACGCAATAATCTTTTGTTATAGCTTACGTTTATCTCTAATACTTTAAGGATGTATCACTTATTTTTACAAGTGTTAATTTTTATATTTTAAATAAACTATATACACATATGAAAGTTATATCTATAACATTCTATTTTTATTGAACAACATTTTTATAGTTTATTTACTTTACTTGGTATTATTATTTGTTATATAACGTTAACATTTTTGAAATAATGATAAAAATCTGAATTTTTTGTATAAGTACTTTAAGTATTTAAAATGATTTATACAAATTTTCATTGTAATGCAGAGATTAACCGTTTTGTTAAATAAATAAGTAAATAAATTTTATTTATTTACAAAACTAATCTCTCCATCGCAATAAAACTGTATAAATCATCTTGAATATTTAAAGTAATTATATGAAAAAATTAAAGATTTTTTGTTATTATTTTATAATACATTTCTATACATTTCCATTAGAACACTGATAAAGATGAAAAACATACTATTTATTGCAACAATTTTTATCCAGGTTCTAAATCGCCGCTAAATTTTTTGTATTACTACAATAATGTTTTCATAATTTTTTTCATTTTTTGAATATATGTAATACATCCTTGAAGAAATAAAAGAATACATCGAACGAGAATTTACGACAATGAATATTTAGTGATTCAAAATCTGTGCATAGACTCGCCGAATATGCACAATCGGAAATATCTCGAAATTAATTTAACACATATTTAGAGAAAAAACGTGACATTAATAACATCTTTATCACCATGGCAAAAGATGCAATATGTGCATAAGGATGCAATATAAAATTAATAGCTATTCATGCAAGGAGGGACTCACAAGTGTGTATCATTTCGTATTTTGTGCGGTATATGTGATATTTTTTATATTAACGCTTCTTCTTTATAGATTAAAAGTGATTACACAAATAATCTCTCGTCAGCATAGACTGTGGCCGGTATTCGTAGTCGCTTCTTATTTTAAGCATCTTAAGTAATGTCTTAAGATGCTAATACAGTTCTGTATGTTGGTTTATGACATCTTAAGATCATTTAAGACAATCTTAAAATATAATTGACTATGAGCTTTGGCCTATGACACAATATGGCAGTAAATAAAAAAAGCATCCTTTACAATGTATGCGAACGCTGTTTCAAAACCGTCTAAAGGTTACATTTTTATTTTACAGAGCCGAATAAATTTCTTAATGTAACTACACATGCCCTGACGCTTAGCGTCTATATACAATATGTACACGCATATATTATCGCTAAATTTAAGAATTACGTAGCTTACGTTAGCACAGTTTTTCACAATTTCAATTTTTGTACTTTGATGAATATTCCTTTACACGCGCGTGAAAAATGCAGTTGTTGCGCTTTATTTTTTATATGCGCTTAATTATATAAAATGTGTATTTTATAATTAACGGCTCATTTGTTTTTCTTTTAACGAAGTTCTGGTCGAATTAATAATAATTTTCGCGTAATAATTGTCTGCTAGCAAGCAAGTCTTGTGTAAAATATGCTATCGACTATTACTCTAATTGACCGATACGAATTGTGGTTGTGAGAATTATAAGACACTATGTACGCGCGCGTATAATATCGTATATATACATTTTAACAGCTATACTTCGTGTTCTAATTTATACAAGTATGTACAAATTCGAACACATTGAGGGAAATGTGTCTATTGCACTTTACATTGAGATTTCACGTGCATGCAACGTAAGTATGAAGAATTACTGTACATATTTATCGCGGGAAATAAATACGTACGTAAATAACGTCTTTAATTTCAAAAAAATTATTGAATTTGATCAAACAAGATTTAGATGTAACGCCCAATAAATAATGACATATTTATTTTTAATCATATATACTCAAACATGGCACAACGGTTTAGGAAATACAAACAAATGATTAAAACTATGCCATTGTCATTAATTACTCGTACACTTAATTTTAACAATTGTCTAAGAAGCATAAGCAGGCAAGCTATAAACTTCCTATGTATAAAGAAGCAACATACTATAAATAATCGTGACTTAACAAGATGAGATAAATATAATGACGAAAAAGCAATTAATTGTGTAAATTTAATTAAAATAAAGAATCTTTGCTATATATATATTATATATATATGTAATAAAGGCAGTCGTAAATCAAATGGAAGAGTCTATCTTTGTAAAAGCGCGTCTATCTTTGTAAAACATCTCAATCTTCTAAGAAAATCAGTACTACATACTTAATATTGCGTAAAAAGCCTTAAATATGTATATAGAAATGAGACATCTTGGCGTTGATCATAACGCCAAGTATAATCGATAGAAACACAACCATTGTTATACTAACAATAAGTACGATTAAGTCAGTGAGTATCATGTACATGTATGATTTCGTGCGATTTTGTTCGGAATTTCGAGATTTGTCGAGAAACGTGCTTTCGCGTAGATTAATTAACGAAAACAAGATAAAAAGAGAAATGTACCGTAAGATGGATGCATGAC